ATATATATATATATATATATATATATATATATATATATATATATATATATATATGTTAATTCTTATTGCATAACATTAATTGTTTTTTGGTAACTAGTTGTCGGGTTTAATGTTTTCTGTCAGGATTCACCTGATAGTTTGTTGTATGTATGTTGTGTCACACGTCAGTGAAGTCGCATGTATCTGTATAAAGTTTATAGTTATCAGAATCAATTTGAATTTTATGGCAAAAATAAGTAACATTTTGTGGAACTGTAGAAAAATACTTTTCCCAGCCCTGATCGTAACTTGCATTTCATCCCTCTAGCCGAAATACTAGAAAAGCAGTGATGGGAATTGAACCGGGGACCAAGAGATTTCCATGGTTCAGCGCACACACAGTGGCTACCACCAGATTAGTCGGCTAAGCAAGCCGCTCACACTTTGATAAGACTGAAAAACGTAATAAAAGAAGAAAAAAACAACTTTAAGTGTCTACTTGTACAAGATTTATTCTTGATACAAATAAAAACAAATCAGAATTGACAAAGAAAATCTGAAAAGTCAAACAACTTGCATTAATCCATATTATACATACAATACCTCTTAGAGAAATGGTACACTACAAAATAAATTTATTTCATTTTACAAATGAAATTATCTCACATTTATATCTATGTTATCAAAAGCACCTTATCAATTTACAAATAAAACTTAAAATAGCAAATTTTTGAGATGTTAAATAAAAAAGTCAATGTTCTTTACCAGAAGGTAGCAATTTTTTAGATGAAAAATATGCAAATTTTGTAGTAAAAACTGTTTGTGGAAATTTAAAGAGGTTACTATAAAAAAAGTTTTGTTTTCAATAAAAACCAAGTTTCTACAAAATGAAGTTAAAAGTCAAAAGATTATTTTCCCAAAAATAGTTTGAAAATGTTACCACCACCATATTAAGCAAATTACTGTAAAATATTTTTCAGATTAAACAATTACCAATACAAACAAAACAAAATAGTACTAAACAACAACAATTAAATACAAACACAGTAACTTTCTACCTATAATTGCTTAAATCTTCCTAATTCATGTGTCTCTTTTGGTGAAATTACGAAAATAACAAAGTCTAGAAAAATAAAATATTTTGAGAATATCTAATACTTTTACGCATTGTAAAAGAATAAAAACTAATTTCTTATATGTCTCATTATAAGGTAAATTTTGTAGTGCTAATTTTTGTGATAATGAAGCTCTTACTGTTTTATAAAATAATGTATAATGCCTATGATTCTTGGTGGTTTTTTAATAAATCATCTAATGATATAATAGCTTAAAGGTATTTTGATAATTGGCAGTTTCTTTAGTGAAAAATGTTTTCACATCATAAGCTTAATTTAGATATGACTACAACATTTTTCATGGAGACGGTTTAATTCTAACATTGTCTCCTAAGCACAGCAAATTATTAATTTAAACCTGTGGGTTCCACCGACAATATTATATAAGAAAAATTCAATATGTTCTATTATTTAATAGAAAAATGGCTTTAGGTTGGCAAGAACACAATTTGTTAGAGCAACACGAACAATGGCGTAACAGCTTTGAACTCTTACTGACTGGAGCCAGGGTCCGCACCTTAAAGGACCCTGGGATAACAAGTAGGCTTTTTGGCCCATATATCGGCCAAGTAATGCTTTTTAAGGAGCATGAATGTGTAAAGAAACACCTATTAAAGTACTTCTTTAAAATCCAAAGTGGTAGGCCTTTCCCTAAGGGTAGTAGGGCCAAAAGAAACCTTAAGCAAGACTTTTTTTATACCTTGTTTCGCACACTTATTTTTTTATAAAAATCGTCAGGGGAGAAAAATAAAAATGAAACATTGTTTTCTTATTTAGCAAATTATTTTTGCCAAAAATATCTAGATGGAGGAGAAAATAAAAATAAAATTTTATTGGTGAATGTAAACAGTGTAGTAATAGGATGGTTAAATGCTTCAAATTTAACCATCCTATTACTACACTGTTTATATTCACCAATATAAACAGTGTTGTAATAGGATGGTTAAATGCTTCAAATTTATTAACTTAATAGGAAGAAATATACATATCTTATTTTTGGAGATTTCAAGGCAGCGGGCATAATAAAAATAAAGTAAATATTTTATATTTTTTTTAATTTACATTTTTTTGTGGTGGCAGGTGCGGTAATTGACCAAAAATGAAATTTTATTTTTATTTGAAATCATTATTATTGTCGAGTAGCGGGTTCACTGAACAAGGTATAAAAAAAGTTCTGCCTTAGCCAAGGGCCTCAGACCTCTTTGTTACACCAATGAACACAAAGATGATTTTGAAAACCATACACATTTAAAAATATGAAATAAGAAAATAGAGATCATTCAAAACTCTATCCAAGCTATGACTATACAAATAGACTCACAGACACTGTATACAGAGTATGTGTAACCTATCTATTATTTGAACACAATGGAACACAGAATTAGCACACAATAAGTTGGTTTATGGCACATTATGGGAAGTTTGGAATTGAGTAATCTTTGGGAATTGAGAATATGGTGTTTCTAGAATTTGTAGCATAATATTTCAAATATTTTTCCCTAAATAGTGTTAGAATGGCAATATACCAGCTAACTTTACTTGAACAATGGTGGATACTTAACTGCAAACATTTCAACTTCGTGACCCATTTGGCCAAACCCCCACCCCATCCATGCCCTTTAAAATGATAGCTTAACTGGTTTAATTCTCAATTTAATTTGTACAACAATATATTGCCATAAAGAAAAAAGAATATATTTTAATTTTCATTCAGTTGTTTGCTTACTGTTTTGGAAATTAATTACTGTATCACCAACTATTATTTGCATTTTACTAATATTGCACAGGGCACAAATATGCTTGCCACACCTCAATTTGTCAATGCCACATTTAGGAGAATGAAACAAAATA